GAGAAACCGTTTTTTTTGGCCCCAGCCAAAGGGTCAGATTTTCGGGTTTTCCGGGGCAAGTGGATTTTCGCCAAAATCGAATTTTTCAGCCGGGTGAACGTTGATTCCAACTATTTAAGCGACGGGCTATTCAGAACTATCAAAGGTATGTGGAAAAAGTGAAAAATGAAAAAAATTTTCTTTCACCCGGTGCGAAAGTGTCAGACCTTGGATTTTTCCCGGGGGAAAGTCGACTTTCGCCAAAATCGAAATTTTTCCCCAAGTGAATGTTGATTCCGTATTTATTGACTCCTCTAATGCCAATCACACCCTCGGAGGCGCCAGAAATGTCGAAATAAAAAATTTTCATTTTCACTTCGAACAAGGGTCAGATTTGTTAACAATTTCATTATTTATTTAGACACCGCATGACAGCGGAGGGACAAGGGTAGCTAGAATAGATCATGCAACCTTCTCCCCTTGTTGCGTAAAAATTTCGCCTGACCCAATTTTTTTACTTTTATATTCTGACCCTAATGTTTTGACCCTAATATTCTGAGCCTCATTTTTTAATTTCCACTTTTTGACCCTTATATTCTGACACTCAGTGCCTACCCCTTATATTATACTTAAGAGGGCTTGCTACAATCCGGCCTGATCCTAAAGAATCATTTTTGAATTGAAATACCCATCCCCCAATTGAGTATAAAATATACCTGCATCAAGTATATTTTATACTCAATTCAGGTATATTTTTTGCCGTGAACCACTCGAATGAACACTCCCCGATCCCCATATCATTAAAAACACAACTCAAGAATTGAAATCACCAGAATGACGATTTTAAGGAGAATCAACCATTGAGGTTCATTCTCATCAATAATTCGTCGTGCTGGAATTCATTGATAGGACTTCAAAAAATCTCGATCGTTCTCAAACATCACAAATGACGCCCGAGGATTATTTCTTCAATATGAGAATGGAGGTTGCGAATCAATTGGATCCAGTTGAATGCTCCTCGAGCTTCCGAGAGCATTGTTATACCTCGAAATGATGTCCTTGACAGCCCAACAGGGGTCTTCAGCCTCCAAATTTCCGTAATAATCACGCCGGTGATGGCGGTTGACAAGGATTTCGGTCCGCTATGCTTCAACCACAATAATTGTCGTAGATCGATGTCCCATTATTTGGTGAAGGTAGAGAGATCTTCAGGTAGTTCCTTGTTGAGTTTCCTTTGACCAGGCAGCCGTAATAATCGAGATTGAATCGAGAGAGGGGTCGAAGTTTCGTCCGAGTGTCGAATCGAAATTGTTTGCGAGGGCGGAGAATCACTTTTTTTAAATTGAGAAGAGTATACATTATTAAATCTCGTTGGCTGAAATTTCGATACACTTCTTAGAAATTAAAAAAAAATCAAAATTTTATGGAAGAAACTTCCAAATTTCAGCTCAATTTTTCTATGAAAATTCATATAAATCAGGAAAATTCAGGTGAATTCATTCTTCAGTTTTCAGTGAATAGAAACTTCCTGGTGCACTGTTCCGACAACCACATTTCAAGTGAAATTGCATCGTCTTTTCCATCCAGATTTGCCAATATTTTTATCTGAACACGTGTACCAGCGCAATCACAAGTGAATATGAATGAAATAGTAGCAGTTGTTGCTTCTGTATCAAATACCAAAACTACAGGGAATACAGTTTCCCCTGTGATCCGCCTGAAATCCGAGTTAACTCACTGCGAAAAAGTGCAGAATGGTCGTTAACATATGTATTGAACACGTGGAGAAACGAGAAGGTTCGATTGACAGGTGAATTGAGGTAACTTCGCCGGATGCGAAATTCACCGGTTGACGCGTAATGACTGTGTGAATACAATTACAAAGGAACTTGTGAAAGAGTGGTCGATCTCAACTCGGTGGTTAGAGAATGATGCTTGAGGCTACCAAATTGGATGATCGCTTCATTCCCATTACGTCTTTTACTGAATGCATTATCTTACAACTTCCTCGGAAATTCGATGAGCTATAGATCCGTTTCACTAACTCGACGTGAAATTGCCAGGAGTTATAACTTCGTGGTGTTACGATTTGTCATTGGCATTCTCAGGGAAAAGTTGAGAGAATTGATGAAGACTTATACATTTTTACCGCGTGCGGACGAAAGTCGACGAGAAATCAGCAAAAAATCAGCGGGAATTTTATCTGAAACGCAGTTGAAAAGCGAAATGTAATTTAATAAAAAAAGGAACGTTTTACGTTTCGTCGAGTGGTGAAATGACTCTTATGTGTGCAAAAATTAAGGGTGTCCATACGGAGAGAAATATTCAATAAAAATTACGTATCGTTTCCGTAATTCCAGAGCGAAATCAGTAGCGAAGTGGTCAAACGGCTTAAGTCGATTTTGGCTACTGCCCAGTTTTCAATGCATTTCTCGAAATCTAAGGGATATAGCAAAATTTTTCTCATAACATTTTTAGTAGCACTCAATTTGCGCTACAAAAAAGGTTATTATGAAAATTTCGTTATCTCCCTTAAATTCGGATATATTTCTGGAAAACTCAACTAAAGACTAAATTGACTTGAACCGTTTGACCACTTCGCTACTGAAATGTGGTTGTAGGAAATTTTACGGAATTGTCACGGAATTTTTCCGGAGTATTTCGTAATTTTTATCCGAATTGTGAGTTCCGTAATTTTTACTGAATATTTCTCTCTGTGTGCATACACAAAAATTTC